TCTGCCGTCTTGCTGCGATACTCGATCGAGTTGAGCCGATCATGGAGCGATTTGAGCAGGTAGCTGAAATGATTTCTTCCCAAGGGCCGTGAGGTTGTGTTGCTACTATTTCTTTTGAAAAGTTTCCTACTTTTTCAGTACTTTCTATCGAACTGTCACAGTCGTCCGCTCAATGGCAGTAATGCTATGTGGATGGAGCAGCCATTAAACGATCAGCTCATTGAACGAGGAGAAGTTGCAAAGGCAACAAGCCATGAAATGGAGGAATGTGTCATTGTGAATGAGCAGGGCGAGCCAATTGAACTGCCTCCTGGATGCGAGATTGTTTACGAGAGTTCCAGTTGAACTGGCTTGTTTATATGTAGTAGGCAGCGATTTGCTATGTACAGCTGTTCTATTCTTCTTATTGTTATTGTCAAGATTTGATAAAAGTTTGAGCATTGGCTGTTGTCATTATGGCGCATTCATTGAGCGTTGATACGCTGTTATATATGTTCTTGTTGGCATTCCTATAGCTTCCACAGTTTTTCTACTTGCTTCTTTTCCAAAATTTGATTTATAGGAGGTCATCGTGCTTTCATAGGATTTCCATAAGAAGATGACGACGCCTAGCAGACGACGACTTATGCGCGACTTCAAGAAACTGCAGGTTTGTGGTCTTTCGCTCATTTGAATCTTTGTTAATGAGTGCTGTCCTTGTTATTCTTTGATGGCTCAGTCTGTGCGCANTTATTCTTGAGATTCATTCTGTTAAGGCGAAATGCTTCCTTTTCTCTTACGGATTGTAATTCGTTGTTTATGCGATTCATAGCCCTGATTGAAGCTGGATTACTTGACCAGTTGCTTAGCATACGACCTCTAGGTTTTTGTCTCCTCAATTGGAGCGCTTGCTTTATTCGTTTTCTCTTTTCGTGCAACCTGCTGACTCGTCTTATTTTTCAGGAGGACCCTCCTGCAGGTGTTTCTGGGGCTCCCACGGAAGACAATATCCTTGCATGGGAGGCCATTATTTTTGGACCCCAGGACACTCCATTCGAAGACGGTACATTTAAGGTAATAAGTCAACTGTAACATCGTCATTCGTGAATTACTTCATGGTATTTTTTCTTACTTCCGTCAATTAATATTGTTTTAGCTGTCATTGGAGTTCACTGAAGAATATCCCAACAAACCGCCAACGGTGAAGTTTATATCTAAAATGTTCCACCCTAATGTGTATGCTGACGGATCAATTTGTTTGGATATCTTGCAGGTCTGTTCGTAACTCTTATCCGAAAGATAATGTGTGGACAGCAAGTGCTGATTTATCCATAATGTTTTCCAATCCACAGCCCAACATTCATGTTTCAGAATCGTTGGTCGCCCACCTATGATGTTGCAGCCATTTTGACATCTATACAGTCGCTATTAGATGAGCCGAATCCTAATTCTCCAGCGAACTCTCATGCTGCTCAACTGTACCAGGAGAATCGCCGCGAGTATGAGAAACGTGTTCAGCAGATTGTTGAGCAGGTACTTATTGGTGATTCATACTTGAAACACCTTTTTGTCACTTCGTTTAAACTTAGCGCGTTTTCTGTCTAACGTTATTGTTCTATCGCCTGTTCTCTCGCCGGGGAAACCACCTGTTCTACTGCGTAGTTTCTGCTTGGCAGTTTCTCGAATTTTACATATCTCAGTAGTCAAAAGTTGTTTTCAGCAGTTTCTAAATTACTCGTAAAAGCAGCTATTTAATCATCTGTAAGTGGGCACATTGCCATACGTGTATGTGCTTCAAGGCCTTATAACTTTGTCTGCTGATCTTAAAAAGTCTTTCTAAGAGTCGTTCACGTTTCTTATTTGCTTTGTGATGGACTTTAATAGACTATCTAGAACTCTTCAAAAAATATATTAAAAAAAAAAGAAATCGAAAGAAATCATTTTCCATGACAGTTATTCCGATTCTGATTGTTTTTACGATTCAGTCGTGGTTGAACTTTGGCGAGAACGAGGGTGATATGGAAGTGAAGGATGGAGCCGACGATACGGGAAACAACGACGAAATGCCATCAGCTAGTGGATCAAACTAAGTTAATTACTGCCCGACATTTGAAAGAAGATTTTTGACTTGCGTAATTTCGTACGTTCGATGATATGCTCTCCTCTTCTCTCGCACTCTCCCCCTCAATTGCACGTTCTCATCACCTCTACCTTTTTTCTTAAATGTCGCAAAAATACGGTTTCTAGGGTGTGTGTTGTTCGCCCGCTTTTTACGAAAATGTCATCGCTCTCTTATTCAAGTCTTTAGTATTTTCATCATCTTCATCAGTTATTTTGAATGTATAGCGCCCAGTTTTCCAGTCATCCCCAGCTACTCCATACATCAGAGCTGCTGCTCGCGCTGTATCCAACTGAGTAATATTTTATGCGGATGTTGTGAGCCGCCGCCACCGCCGCCCGTCGGCTAACGATGAGGCCTACATCATCGACATCCTTCCCCATCAGCACTTTTCTCGTCTGCCTTTATAGGTATGTAATGGTCTCGACCGGTGAGCGTCCCAAAGCTTTGTATTGAAACAGTCAGTGATGTGTATGTAATAGGGTTTCACTTTGGGATGTCACTGTGATCCTTGTAGGCTCTTCCTCCTCCCCTTCATCCATCCTGTGCATTTGCGGCGCCATCACGTCTGCTTTCCATCACTCTGTTGTGATTGCAGTCGCATTCAATATCGCGCCTCATGCTGCGTTCATTCAGTTTCACCCCACTCCTATTACCAGTGTACATAGTACCGGTTCAGGTGTAGAAATATTTCTGGTAAAAGCATTCTCATTCTCGTTGACTTTCCCAACCTGACTACTCCTGATACGGCTTATCGGTTAGCGAATAGAGGCGACCGCACAATTCGTAACCGACTTTTGAGTGTAGTACTCGCACGTGCACCCATACTAAAACGTCACCGATTCTTCTTGTTTCATCCTCAGTTTCGGTTTTTTTCATTTTGTTTATGTGTTTGGTATTTCTAATATTCTGTAAACCAAAAGAGAGTGTTATGCTCAACACAGTCGTTAACGGATTGGTGGTTTGTTCGTTTTTCGCTGCCGACCTCACGAATGTTTCGAGGAGAACCAGCTGCTTCCGTTCATCCCCCTCATGCAAGTCATATGTCATACAGTGTGTTATGAGATTATTGTGATGAATAAAGAGTTGGTTTAACCTGTTTTCACTGTCAAGCTGTTAAAAGGTTTTTGGGGCTGCGGTTTTCACAGCTATCGTTATTCCCCAAAAAGCATGGTTTCGCAGTTTTGATGAAGTGCATTTTCTGAAATAAGACGCAGCCGATTTTGTGGTTAGGCGCCTAATTCATGAAATATTCAGTCAATTATTATACCCCACATGATACATGCAACCTTTGCGTCGCTCTTAATCTCGTCGTGCAAGGTCGCTGTTAAGTGAACAACTTTTGCTTTTAGTGCAAGAAGAGGAGGTATTGGTATACATAGAATTCCTGCTGGCTATATAGAAAGTGTTAGTGTCAATTTTTGCAAGCAAGTGACTCCATGCAAACTGGAGAAGGAAGTAAGGTGAAATGGGCGAAGCTGTGATGTGTAACAGGGCCCCTTTGGTTCTTCAGCTTAGATAGGTTAGCCTCTTACACTGCAAAATAATAAATCAATGAACTGAAAAAGTGGCCCACAGGATAGGTTCTGAATGTGACTGTTTCAGAAAATCGGCTCTCACCTACCTCACACTTCGCTAACAGAATGAAACAGCTCTTTTCTATTTGTACAAATCAGCATTCAAGTTTCACAATGGGTAAAGACATTGATTTGAAAAAGATGAAATTGGACTTCGTAATAGACTTTGAAATCGTACTTGAACAAGGAACACGGGTCAATTCCCATAGAAATAGGGGCGAGGATTACCGCCACTTCAAGTGGCCTTGAAAAATTAACTCCCCCGCCCATCACGAAAATAAGGAATTCAATTGTCAACAGGGAAAACACACCTTACAGCTTCACTACTGATCGTACGATTTTTCGCTGCTCACTGCTGATTCCACATAACTCTGATAAACTTGAAATCCTGATGTACAGTACGTTTAATCTTCAAAATCTCTTTCATGAATGCATACGACCGAACTCGATGAATTCTAAGAGTAAAAGTAACAGAAAACGCAAATCAAAACATTTTTATTTGTATCTTTTGCGCATTTGAATGCTATCAATCCCGTTTTGAGTACACTCGATTTACAGTGGCATTCTGTAATGTAAATACATAGCACATGATGCGCTAATCCTGACTGAAAGAAGGAAATTAAAAGATATTACAGTATTGATTCACATAATGAGGTAGTACATAGAGTTCTTGATCCCGGAAAGAACTGTAAACACTGGGACAAATTTGCGGTAATTACTTTTGAAAGGCTAAAGGAAAAATTATGAGAGATTATATGATTTTGTCTTGATATCGTGTATGAGATCAAAGAAGTGCATTCATCGAGTTTAAGCTATCTCATTAGCTATCGTCGTATTCAATAGGTTCATCGCAGTCAGCGAAAGTGAACATAATTGGATTTCCGTCTTTATCGAGCTAAAACCAAAAAATAAATAATGCAACAAATCGAGAGTGGACGCTTACCTTCACTGGAACATCGAGATTTATGGGGCCTACTGCTTTACTCATTCTATCTCTTTCCTCATCGGATAACGTGGATTTCACGTGTAGAAATTCCATCTTACGCAAGAACTCTTCGGCATCACGCTGTAAAAATCAAATAAAGAGATCAACTGAGAATACGTGAGCTAGACAACATACTCACCTTCACCTCTTCCGATGAAGTGCTCGAAACGAGATGACTGACAACAGCCATAAAGTCACGATAAATCACTTCATCCTCTAGGAACGGAGCAAAATACGGTAGCGAGTCGCGCATCTGAAAGCACAAGGAAGTGATGGTTAGGTCATTAGCTGAGAGGAACCAAAAATACGATTTTTGGCGTTAATGAACGCCGTCTCAGGGATAGATTCCCGCATCCGAGTTCCATTCAGAATCGCAGTTACGTACTTAACCGTGTCTGCTGATGTAATGACTTGCTGTGGCCGGTCAATATAGAAGCCAAAGCTTTTCCTCCCCGAGAAGACAGACGCCACTTGACCAACCCCGGCTGATAAAAGGTATAAATGGCCTAGACGAACATCAACCCAGGATTCGTTCTCTAGACCGCCGCCCGTGAGCTGAGAACAAATTTCTTACATTCATTGTATCAATTCAAAATGACCTATTAGTTTTGTGCACCACATATCGACCAACATACGAAGACTGACTAGCGATTGAAGAGAGGCAGGAATGATAAAAAAAGACAGTGGATCATTATGGGAAAGAAGCATTGAAGCGAAAGCCATGTTTCAGAAAAGGACTCACAGAAAGAACAGCCTGGAACAAATGGATAGAGTTCGCGGGCCGGCTGTTCATTACCATTTTCATTTTCGTGTTGAACTAATCAGAAAATGACTGTTTAAAAGGTTTACTATTAGGTTGGTGCATAATTACTGCGGATTTTTTGGCGGCTCCTTCTCTCAATACAATTTGAATACTGAACTCGGGTTTTTCATAGAAATAAACTTCTCGTTTTCCTTGACAGAAAAAACTCTAAAAATCATCTTCACAATCGCATGGGCACAAAAAGGGAGTGTAGGAAGAACAAAAAAAAAANAAAAAAAAAAAAAAAAAAAAAAAACTAAACCAAAAAAAAACTGCATATTAGATAAAATGTATACAGTGTATATATGGTTACCTTGTAAAATGAATTATCAGTCAATGTCAACTGCGAGATGAAATAGGAGAAGTAGTACACAATGTGCCCATTATGCTCTGTGGCTTCCCTTCTGTAACAGAGTTAATCCACCAATCTATCAATTTAGAACATATGCGTTAGTAAAAGTATACTGCATTAACCATAGTGACTGTAAAATTCTCACCTCTTGCAAAATTCGAACCTCTGGCACATTTTTTCAACAACCACATCCAAAGGCTTATCTTCCACCATAGATAAAAGTCGCCTAAAATTTGATTTTAAAAATTCTCAACGCTTCAAAACCAGCTATTACTCTCTCACTTGACAAGATATTTGAACGCCTTGAGAGGAACTTGATCTTCCCAACGACAAATTCTGCAGATGAGATCAGGCAGTACATTTACTAGTAAGTTACCCTGCAACAAATGTGGGATTTTTATATAATATAGGAACAGTGAAGCTTTTGCACGAATTAATCCATAATCGTTCAATTGAAAATGCCAACGAGAATGGGATATTGATGGCAATTTAATTTTGTTACATGGGAGCATACATACGCTTTTTCGAGTAGAGCAGTACATAATGCTTCTGTAAAAGTGAAACGGTAAAAGCGGTTTTATCTATATTATAATAGGTTTTCGAGCTGAAGAAAATTGCGTAGGTTTTATTCTAACGAACTTCTTTAGGAAAGTGTGGTAGACCTAGCCTATTTAATAACTATTATATGAATCTCAAATCATTACTAACTCCCCCAAGTTTGTAAAAATTTTCTGGAATCACAAACCTTCCGAGAAAGCTCACGGAAAAGCTCAGTGGCTAACACAGAAACTTCTCTTTCGTCGTTTGAACAGTCTTCCTCCTTTCCGTCGGAACGTTTCCTGTTCAGCATACATAGAGCTGTATCAGACAGTGTACCTCTCGGCTGAAAACGATCTTCATAATTTCAAGAAAATTGGTAAGAGCGCGCTATAAACACCATAAAAATGAATTCACCTTTAGAACATCATGAGTAAGTAGGTATGTTAGATACAACAAAGAAGTGATACGTACGTTTGGATCAGCGTCCATGGGCCTGGAAAGATAAAAATACAACTGCTATGGCTACTTAAGTAAGATTTCTCAAGCGTACATTTCAAAGAGGGACAGAGAGTGACCCTCTAGCATAGCAGGAAACCGATACATAACATCCACACCGGCAGCTAACAAATATTCCTTCATTTGAGGATCAGGATGACAGCAAATGAATGTGAAGAAGGTGGGACTCGCTCTCTCAGTGAGCTGGGGACTGGAAGGGAACAATAAAGAAAATTGATCTGAAAACCTAAAATGAAACTAACAGAGCAAAAAATAACCTGATCAGAAGGAACTTGGAAAAGGCTCTCAATGCTGCATTTCGAATTTCTTCTGGTATGCCAGGGCACCGAATAAAAAACACAACCAACGCCAGACATCGGCCAATAACTCCAGTTTTATGCAGCAGTCGCGTTTGGAACAATGCTTGGGTACGTGTGCGAATGAGTTCTTCGGTGGATGGACCTGAACAAATTTACAAGCAATTTTATCATGAGCTTATATTCTAGCACTGGTGGCACCCATCGGTCTTCATCGCCACTTGAGGAAAAAAATGCAAACTCACGATTAGAGTCGTCATCATCTTCATCATCTCCGGAAACTGACGGTTTGTCTGACCTCTCTGAATCAGCTTCAGACTCTAATGAATCACCATTATCTGATTTCATTTTTGCAATAGAAGCAATAGTTCTGGCAAACAGTCCTTCTCGATAGGCGAAATCCATTTCCACATCAGAATGAGGCTTATCGTAGTCGGCATATGCCTCGGTTGGTTCTTCCAGTTGCTTAAAAAGTGTTGAGAGGACGAATTTCAAGGTGCACCAAAAAACCCAACACATACCTCGGCTGCTGCTTCATCCAAAGCCATAGCACGTTTCAGCAATCTCGGGAAGTAGTTGTCAATATGGACCAAAACAAACTCGATGGCCTGAAAAACAAGTCTTTCTTTACTTTTGCTCCATAATCCTCCACAGATTAAGAGCAGAAAACCTACATCACCGAAAAACATCAAAACACGCTCTACTGTCCGTTGCCAAGCTATGTTGAAATAACCTCTGGAATTGGTAGCAACAAAACTGAGAAAAAAAAATGAGCGTCAAGTACCATACTGCAGAGTTAGAAAATTAGGAGTTAGAAAGACTTTTTTAAACGGGACTTTGTGACCTCGATTCTCTTTCACAACTTTTGAGGCTACTAGTGCAGCAAGAACACCAATCATGGGTAATCTCTGCTACAACGCGTGAACAAAGTGAACCAAACGCTCACTGATATAATCATTTATGAAAAATTCGTACTTCCGAGCTTTGACGAAGTCAGTACTGAGTTCTTCCGGTGGCTCTTCTTTATACAGGATGAGCAGTTGTGCAGCACGATGAGCGTACCACAGTGCCTGCAAAGTGAAATTAACTCAAAAACAATCAACGGATTCCTTTCCAGAATTTTTTTTTTTGAAATGAAAAAAAACAAAGCAATACCTTCCCGAAAACTCTTGAAACTGCATAGTCCACATCACTGGAAAGGGTAATAAGCGCCTTCATGCAATTTCGCATGCTTACATACCAGTACTTCGACTCCACAGTAGCGTCATCGGATAGAATCACTTAAAATTGTATTAAAAAATGAACATGTGACTCTCACAAAGCTAACCTCGGAACAAAAACTTCTCCATATCTGGAAATAATGAGTCAATTGCACGCAATCGATACAGATATGCTTCACTGTCCTCGTCAGGAACTCCCTAAAACGTATTCTCCTTCACTGTTGCCTCAACCTAGCTGAGATAAAATATGAATAAATTTATGGCCGTATAGGAATTTTTGAACGATTTCATATAATTGGGAAATAGAATCTTTTCATTTGAAAGTTAAATCTGATTATCATAAAAATCAACCTCTTTTGAAGGAATGAGGTAGGACATTGCATGAAGAGCTTCACTCGCAACAAGCACATCCATTGACCGCAAACATCTTTGAAAATCACGCAGGTATTCACGCATTGTCCTGGGATCGACCCTACAAGCAAAATTAATCCCACCATTGATCATTGAATGAACTATACTTCAGCTTGCAAACCTTGCAAACAAGGCTAGCACAACCATAGCTGGATACTTGCAGAAAGCTGGTTCCGCTTCGTTGATAATCTAAACATAAATGATCAAGTGAGGAAGTAAAGCGGGGAAATATCGATCGAACCTTGATAAAATGCAAAATTAGTCCGGGAGGGATTTTATTTTGGCAGAACATATGGTAAAGAAGTTCAGTGATTGCATGGCAGTCTCGCTGTAAATAACGATATCTTTACCCAATTATAAAGTATATTCTTTTCTGATCACGTAATGTACATACTGACTTATTTTTTCCTCAGAGTATGTAGGATTGCAATACATGTCAATGTAGGAGCAGTACACTAGACTTTCGTGTCATAGTAGTACTTCTCCCACACTATTTTTTTACTTACGATATACCTGTTGGCATTTTTCTCTTTGATTTAATTTTCACACATTTTTTCCAGTAAACTGCTCAAGGATTGATTTTACTACAACATTTTCTGCAAGAAAAAANTTTAATTTTCACACATTTTTTCCAGTAAACTGCTCAAGGATTGATTTTACTACAACATTTTCTGCAAGAAAAAAACGTACTTTGTCTTTCTTTATCAGTCTTGTTATTAAAGCATTAGCTGTTTCCACAATGTCGATTTCACCTTTGCTGAATAATTACACATCATTGAACGACAAAGTGAAAAAAGCTGCTAAAGCAAAAAAAGAAGCAACCTATTCCTGTCCTTTCTCTTTATGAATAGCAACATGACAGTGCTAAGAACTTCAGCGGACAGCGTTGGATTCCCCAAGTTGTAGAAGTCGTACAATGCGCACGCCGCATTTCTGGAACGAATTTCGGATCGGTGTAAACGGTATACCCAAATAAAACAGAAGACATCCTTTTTGGTGCCATATCCTTTTCATTTCGTACAGTGAATTATAGAATAGAAGATGTGTGCAGAAGAGGAAGTTCAAGGACCAAAGGGCTATTCGCCATTTCAGAACGGTGGCAAAAAATATACACAGAAGTCTGTTCAATCTGTGACGCCCGCTCTCTTCCTGCTCAGCTATNGAACGGTGGCAAAAAATATACACAGAAGTCTGTTCAATCTGTGACGCCCGCTCTCTTCCTGCTCAGCTATTGAAATAATGTGGAGTGTGGTTGGAGGAAGAGAAACATGGGACCACTAAAACGTTGGCATGGAGGTAAAAATGAAGGCGATGAAGGGATGAGCACTTTCAATTTACAAGTCTGAGTAGTTGCGGAAGCGTCTGGTCTTGATACTTGTTTCTTGATTTTTACCAAATATTAACCCCCCATTGAGCAAAAATAATACCTTATTCCAAATCTTTCACAGGTAGCACAGAATGTGACTGCATAGCTCACATCCGTGAATCCGTTCTGTTTTAGGGAGTCAGCAAGGACTGGAAAAACGAGCGCCATCTGCTCGGCAAACACCATCTTTTCCTAAAAATATTCATCGCCCCAATTAATACGAAAAACATACACCAAGAAATACAAAAAAAGCAAACCCGTAGAATTCCATCAATTTCTATTGATAAAAATTATATAGAACAACATAAACCTCATGCAAGAGTTGAACTGACCTGAGTAACTCTGAGCGCATGCTCAACAAGATCCATATTTTCTTCATATGCAACCTCCATTTCTTGCAGTAGCTGTTCTCCAAAAGAGTCACCGATACGGCTGATATGTATAGACACATAAAATCTTTCAAATTCACGGACTAACGCATCGATCAAATCGTTCAACGGTAGATTACTGCAAAGCACCAATCAGAAAAAAGGATTAATCCCAATATGAGTGTTCATATGACTCGTAGTAAACTCACAGATCAATATCCTTAAAACGTCCCAGGTAGAGAAGCTTCACAAGCACACAAAGAGAATCCCTCATCGATACCTCAATCATGTCCACCAAAAGTGCAATAAGGCTGCAAATATGAGTGCAGATGAACCCAGATCAAGCAATTCACTAATAATCAACGAATACCTTTCAAATGGTTCATTTTCAATGCCCTCGCTATCGTTCTCATATGCTTTGCTTTCTATTATGGATTTCAGTGTTGCCCTTATTTTAGGCTCAAGAGATTTGAAGCGATCCATTACTACAAAGAAGCCAGGACGATCTGAAACCTGAGATTTTTGGCAAAAAAGCTGCTAGTCGGAGCCGTAGAAAGCACTCACCAGGATCAATAAGCTTGATACGCTCTTTGTGTGCATTAAGTTTCTCACAGGTTAAACTTAATCTCTCGAAGTCCAGCTAAAAGTTCATTTCTTTTTACTCCAATGAATCATAACCGAAAAACGTCGAGATCCTGTGAATCCATTGCAACCGAAATAACAAGTGGCTCACACTTTTCCCGTAGGGGTTCAGAAGCAGATACAGCACGAGGAACTGCATCGCCACCTTGCGAGTATTTGCTGATTTATCATGAAGCCGTTCAGCTAAACTACTTTTATACTACCATCACGACTTAGTGGATGAACTGCATAGCCTTACCAACAGCATAGACAAGCCCTTTCTTGAGGGAATCGAAGGGAACTCTTCGATTATTTGCAATGACCACCCAACAGTTCAAAGCTTGTGTTCGCACTTGGAGGTTGGAGTCAGCAAGATGAGCCTACAATTTTGAAAAACTCAAGTTGGATTGCCTATAGAGCTTTCTTTTAAGGCCAAAGTTTGTACCTGCAGCTGGTCAGCCATTATATCACGAACTTTGCGTGCATCACGACCTGGCCGCAAATAGCGAGGTTTCATGTCTGGGCCACAGATGACATCACAAAAAGCTCCAAGGATAGCACTACGCATTGTTGGCGGCTGCAAAGTTGGCAAGTGATAAAGATAAAGAGACAATCCATGAAGCAATAAGGAGAATTGTAGCTTACATCGTATTCGAGGAATGGTAAGACACTACGAATGTTCTCAAAAAACGTTAGCGGAGCACATTGAGCAATTTTCTGAATCAACAAGGCAAGAGGTTTCGGGACTGACTGCGCTGAAGTTTCGCGAGTACGTAGCATTCCCACAAAGTAGAGCATGTGAGACATCATCTGATCCATATCGCCTGAAATATCTCCGCTGAAGTTAAAAGAAATATTCAATTCGGTAATGAAAGTAATCAATCACAATGATGGCTGACCGTCGATCGAAAGCTTTTTGATAGGATCAACAAAAGGATAGTCCGTAACGCGAGGATCATTGAGATATTCGAAATGTATGCTCGCTTTGACTATAATCCGAGCAACTTCTGTAAAAGGTGGTTGATATGCATGGCGAAAACTGGAAAGGACACAAACATGAGACGTTTAATGCTCTGTATTAACAGCCAATCACAAATTGTTGGCCTTGATTAGGTAACTATGATAACTTTCGCAAAAGCATACCACTTGCGAGCTTGTAGTCTACGCATATCGGACGCAGATGTTCGAATAACTGCCGGAGTTCTGCGCTAGAGCTCGATTTCGCAAAACGTGGATGTGCCACAAACTTGATTATTATGGAAGCTAGAGCTCTAAAAATTACAATATTTAGACTTTTTTCTATGAAAAATATATGTATAGAAATATTAAAATTCTAGCATGCAACACGTGTCGATTTCGGTCGCACCTGAGTAACTGTATATTTGCATCCACAGGTCGCCAAAGATATTTGATCGCATTTTCTACTGATTCACCGTTGCCACGTGGTATATTTATACAGCATATAAAGCCGATAATATCAATAATCTAAACTAATGACCCATTAAAATAAAGGTATAGAAAAAAGTAATCAGTATACACCTGAGGGCGCAGTTCCTTCCATACAACTAGGTCGCTGTTGAATGTATCCCCTTCTTCACCGAATTCAATTTCATTTCCTTCTGTTTCTACACCCAAATCACGATACGCGCTATAAAAAAATTATACACTATTGTAAAGTGTGCTATTGTTGTGAAACATTGCAAGCATTCGGATTGTCGGAGTAACTAAGAATCTTCAAAAAATTAAGAAGCGGAACTAAGACACAGAACATAAGCTCAACTTATAACGTTCTAGCCCTGTCTGATGGCGGGTAATGGCCAAATCCGTATTAAGCATAAAATCTTGAAACGATAAAACAAAGAGTTTCGGGCTCACCGACAAAATTAACAAATTTCGAACTAAAAATGTACCGTTTTATTACAGCCCCTTCCAAATGAAACGTAAGTCTCTGGATGAGATAGATGAGCATTTGTAGAACTTCTACGCGATCTGCGCACACTTCTGCCAACTGAAATACCTTGAATTTAACAGGAGTTCAACTTCCTCGAAAGAGAGGGCTCCTATGTGAATGGGAATAAGGCTTCATCATGACAGAAAAAATGAAGGAAAAAAAAGGACGTCTCACATTTTTTGGTAGAACTTCTCCGGCGCTCACAGCGTGACAGAGGGCATTTACCAAATCGGGCTTGAACGCATTAAATGCTGAAATGTAGTAGTGTTTGAGTTTTTCATTTATTCAAATGAATGATAAAACATGGAACAAAAGACATAAAAATAAGAGAGCATCACACACCTTTGATTAACGTCTGAATCAGATCCAACCAAATATTCCACTTTCTTATTGTAGACTCGATTCTAGAACAAGTTCATTGAAACATAAAATAAAAAACATGGTTATTGGAAGACGTACCTGCAGATATTAAAGAGATCGTCAAAATAGGTGTAGATTGCACCGTAGTCGTCATCGTCAACAGCGCTTTCGAAATCTAAGCTAGTGTTCAATTACCCTCATCATATGTTGTACTTAAAAGATCCGAGTGAGTTTGGCTCTCTCCGATCAGTTACAGAATGCTAACAATTCAATCAACAATTAAAACGTTGACGTTTCATGGTGAAAAAAAGAGGATGGAGAGGGAAGATGGTTGGAACAAGAATAAAATGCTGCAATGAAAGTCACAAAGATCCCAAAGTAATGTTACAGAAAAACAATGCGACAAGATCATCGTTAAGTGCGTCCTTCAATAAAATACTTTCCCAAGATGTCGTCTCACTGTGTGAGGAGACTCTCCAGCTCAACCCCAACCTCTAAGTAATACGGGATTTGAGCGGAACTAAGACTTTGAACAAAGAAGAGGGTGAAACATCGGTTTAGATATACTACTGTTTTACTGATTCTAGTGTCTTACAAACGTCTAAATATGTAAATAGTTATAAAAGCCGCCAAAACTTAATCACAAAGAGCAACAAGAATAATGTCCCAAATATCTATCTATGACAATATTTATCGACTGGCTTACTCCGTATGACTTTCATTGCCGTCTCCAGTGTGATCGAGTCCTTAGACACCATGAACGCGTTAAGCGAATTCGTTAACAAATCTTCATCTCTTTCTGGGATTTCGAATCTGAATATAAATTTCGTTCTTTGTGATTGATATGCATATAAAAAGATAGAGCTATGCCTACCTTGCCGCTCCAATTCCGCCTGCATCAGATTCCTGTTCTTCTGCGTCTGAATCTTCACCTGAATCTGTCTTATTTGCATGAGATCGTTCAGATTCTTGTCTCCTCGTTATGTGGCCAAGTTTTGCCCTAACTGCTTCCGTCGGTCGACCGCTTTGTTCAGAAAAATCCGAATCCTCACATGATTCAGATGGCCGCGACATTTACAGCAAGAACTTAACAGAAAGTGAATTAAACTGGAAAAAGAACATAAAAACAAATATAAGCGAAGTAATATCACATTGCATTACATAAGGTTAAAAGTTTCCTTAAATCCCCATTGTCATAAGTGAGAACGCACATCAAAAAAATTAGAGGTCCCCGGGTAAGAAAAGATCGGGAGACGTGCATTACGTGCGTCCAAGGACGGGCGCGGCGAAGTTCGTGACGATTTGTACGATTCTGATGCCAATTTTCGAGGCACAAACTCGAAGTAAAGTAGTTTCGTAGGGTGAAATGACCCTTACAATCGACTCTACTCCAAATTTGGGCCCCAATGATAGGCGCCAAAGTCGTTCAAATCGTTACGAACTTCGCCGCGCGCATCCTCGGACGCACATATCAGGAAAGATCGGGTGTGGGATCCGAAACCCAATGATCACATTCAAGTTCCAGCTTTCCCACCTACTATTTGTTTTCTCGACTTCACACTGCTTTCCTTGCCTTAACCTACCTAAAAGGTATTTGCGATTTTACCGTAAGAAGACGTGACCACAATAGTCATTCCCAATTTTCTTACTAATTAAACTGATTAAACCTTACTCTTATTAATCGACCCCCTTGCGACATCCGAGTTTGATTTCAAACGCATTTCTTAGGAAAGAACCTGAACTACCACGAAGAGAGAAAAGCGGGTACAACCAAAAATGGAAACGTCTACGAACCCGCGCTCACACTTACTCTAGCTCTCTGCATATACGGTTAGGCACCAGACGACAGAGTCTGAGCCGCAGTTTTTGATAGAGCGGGCCTATTGTAAGGGATTAAATGTAATATGTAATATGCTTGTATCTAGTTGTTTAGTCTTTGGGAGGGTTCTGCAATTCATAGATAAATGTAAAACCAAGCAAACTCTCAATATAACTTTCAATGCATTACCCTCGGCTCAGGTATTCGCCTTTGAATAGAGAAGTGAAGGCTGGTATGTACCAGGGAAAGCTTCCTGCTTCTCCTATTTTTGTGGGTTTGAAGGGTGGGACCTCACGAGAAAAGAGCCGGGATGAGGAGGTAGGTTTCCTGAAGGCCATCGAGGAGTAATGGAATGATTGTGTTAATAACTTATGGTATTCAATGTACTTCTTCCAACAGTAAGTAAACCCGGAAAAAGATGCCCGGAAAAAATGGCGGGATCAGCATTCTCCAGGTCTCGAGGCAGACCTACACTGCATGGGGCCAAGAGAGGAGCAAGAAATCTCGTGAAGTAACTAAGTAACGTAAGTAAGTAAGGAAATCCCGAAAGATGTTACGCTCGGTACATGATCTTGGTGGTGAAGTGGAGTTGGTTTGATACATTTTTTTTGTTTTAGTATCTTCTTGTCAGTGATTTTCAGGAGGTCGCCGGATTGAACATAAAACTATGGAAAGCTCGATTGTTCAGCATCTATGACTAAGTCGACCAGAACGAACGTTTAAACAGGTACCTTCAGGTATGTTCACATACAGTACGCCAGGTAGCAGACCGATGGAATGGACACACAAGAAAACTTCTCCAGCAAAATTGAAATCCTACTTTACGAATTCGCTAAGTGTGTCTGTTTGTTTGTCGGTGTGTGTGCGTGTCTGTGTGTATCTGTGTGTCGGTGTGTGTGTTTGACCGGAAACTCATAACTCCTCTTCCTATGGACCTAGAGCGATGAAATTTGGTATGTGTACAGGTGACAAGGTGGGAACTCATGGCAGGTAGCAAAGCAGACCGCGCCCACAGGGGCGCGGCGTGCACGATAGAAATTTTGGACCGCAAATTCATGACTTCTGTTCTAGTGGACTTTGAGTTGGTAGGGGTACAAGCGAAGACGGGAACACTCATGGCAGGAAGCAGGACCAGACCCTCCGCCCACAGGGGATGGGGTTTGCGCAGAGTAAATGTTTGGGCGAAATTTCGTAACTCTGTTCCAGTGGACCTCGAGCGTTCAAATTCAGTAGGATTACACTTTCGTATTATCAGTGGAACCTCGTCATTTTAATAAGTGATGTTGGATATGATGGGATCGTAGGTACTCGGTGACAGGAACAAATAATAAATGCTAAGAGAAAATAAATGACCGAAGAGAGCGAGAGCCACTTACCGTTCAAAATCCTAACGTCTTCGGTATTTACGATGTAACTTTAAAGGCACAGTTCACGATAATTTTGAGCTATCCGGTTTCTGACCAAAAATTTTAGGTACGGCATACAGTAGTACAATGGAAAAGCAGAAACCGCGAAAAACGATGAATAAACAGAAATACGAAACTTTAAAAAAGAAGAAAAAGGGAGGCTGGACGAGTTTCACGGCGAAAAACGGCGGTTAAGGGAATTTTCGGGCGAGTAGACGAATGCGACGTAATGTCTGCAATTGCACACAACACGCTCAAACGGCTGATTTTGGCTTCTTCGTTAATATTATTTATTCTACCGATGATATTAAGTTGAGTTATTGTGCAGATTAAGCTGAGTTATTGTGCAGAATCGATTCTCTTAGTACAGAATAGAGTAGAATATTAGTCGAACAGTAGGAATGCAGCCGAATACTATCATCAGTAGGAGGCGGTCTATTAGCTTATTGATTTTTCACTAATGTTGCTCCAATGCGAAAGTGGTGAACGACAATTAGATTTCGTAGTCAGCCTAGCGAGGGGCGGAGGCTGACCGTGCTTCACTCTCCGGCCCCCTATTGTGCCCTATCCAGAACGTTTTTCGACTTCATTCCGGCACATATGTATCAGAGGTGCCCCGAATTCATGTGCAAATCTCCGAAATCATTTTTATCTTTAACCGTGCCTTTGACTGTTCAGTATGTGTTCTTCGATAAGCTGGGATGGTAGAGTAAGGTGACAAGAGTGAGTGGTAATTGCAGTAATAGTGACCCATTAGCGGCAGTGCGAAAAGCAGATGAGGATTTTGCTCATTTCTTGCTATTAGATTACGACCGCTACCCACCAAGGTTTGTGACCCAATGAAGGATCCACATTGTTCGATATCATTTGCGACCAGTTATCTGGAACTCATAACTAATGATATCCCTGTAAAGAAAAAAGTCCGTCAATAACATCTGATAATGGTGGGTTTTGGGGCACACCAAACGTTTGTGAGTCAAAGGAGGGAACCGACTGGTATTAATATAACTACTTATACATATTCACTTTAGCAAGTATACAGTGTACACTATTAGTTGTAAGTAGGAAGAGTATCTGGCAACCTCATTTCTGATTCATACTAACAGGATTGCCTTTGAAGTTTGAGCTATAAGACTACTATCATTCGAATCGTCGCGTACGAAGATTTGTAATTACTTGTTCTTTCGGGAACCTTGAAGAGCTCTCGCCTTTTTTATTCGAGGAAAATCTTTGTAACAAAAGTTTACAGCAACCCAAGGTAGGTGGGACTTCGGTACGGAGATACCGGCGCGAATTTGGCAGTTCCATCCCAACTGCGTGAGGCAGCTTTTTGGTACTCTTCTCTATGGTGGAATGAGCAAGTTTAGATCAAATCGCACGTCCGTTTGAACGGAAACGTAAACAAAGCTCCTATACATCTCAACCCAGTTATGGGGCAGATTTGAAGCTTGTCAGTTCAAGACCACAGAAGAAGAGTCGGGGTAGCCACAATGTCTACTTTATCTCTGAACCGGATTGGCGCTTCAATGTGTCATCGATCTCATAAATGGCGATCTCGCGATCGAACGAGTACATAATATGAGAGGTAATAAAGAAAGAGTCTCGTCCGAGTGCTCAACACAAAGTGGCAAAGCTGGATTTCGCACTCAAAAACATGGCGTCTCGGTGAGACAAGGTACATTTTTTCTGAGAGTTAAGTATGGTCGAAACATCAGTTTCTGCAATTTTCCATTTGGGTCATCTTCAGTGATGGAGTTCAATATGAAGGGCCATCAGCGCAGCAGTCTGGATGAGCTAGAGGTAGCGGTCCTCGCTGTTCGAGAATTAAACAACGCGATAATCAGAGGGAACATTTGAACTCAAGAACTCTGAAGCGATCATCGATCGTTGGTTTTAATCATGTTCCTTCATTTCGTATGTCGTCCTCATACTTTGTTGGAAAGATTTTTCGTCAAAAAAATTTCAGAGTTTTTGAGGGAAATAATATTTTTATTAATATTAATATTCGCCCGAATACTTATATACAGGGTGGCGGCAAATCACACTGCGCACAACTTTGAGTGTGATCACGTGACTACTTTGAGCACCAACGTCAGCTTCAACGCATCAGTGCTTTCTTCACATCTTCGATAACGTGCCTGTGAAGCAAAAGTTGTTCTCAAGAACATGGTGCATGTTTGCACAAGATGCGAGGAGATTGCACTCCTAGCCAGCGACGGGATAGAGAACACTGCAATTTCGTCGAAGCTCAGAATTCCTAACACAAGGATGATTAGCAGTATTATAAAAAGGAGGATTGAAAGTAAGGATGACCGGAGCATGAACAAAATGGCGGAACAGCTCGAGATCCCCAGAAAATTCGTTCGAATGATTATGAAAAATGAAATTGGGCTTCGAAATTTCCGCCTATCGAATGGACTCTTTCTCATTGAAAAAGCAAAGCAAAGTCGATAAGAAAAATGCAGGATACTGCGGGAGTTTTTCAAGGTGCGCCAAAATGAGGATGTTCTTGGTCTGACGAAAGTGGCTAAAAATCCTCAGAGTTGCGGTAACTCCTTGGTCCAGCTCTCAAAATCACCCGGAAGTGGAAAATTACCACAAGAAGTTTGATCCCCAAGTGTTTAATGGTTTGGGGTGGTATCAGTGCGTCAAACAAAACTCCGTGGATTATCATGAACAAAAATGTGGAAATTGATGCGAAGTTCTTCCAAAAATAAATTCTTTAAGAAGTTGTGCTATCCTGGGAGCGAAATCATCCCAGTTTCATCTTCCAGCAGGACTGGGATAGGCCCATGCAGCGAGATCCACCTTTCACTTCCTCAATACCGAAATTGGCTCCTTTCTAACGTAGGATTTTGGCTTCCTAATAGCCCAGATTTGAATCCTTGGCTTGCTCTCTGGGATTATATGGAAGAGGAACTAAGGACTTGAAAAGTGAAAAGTTTGGTGGTTTCGAAAGGAAAGGAAGTGTGCAAAATCTGGGACAGTTTAGACATCAACTACCTTCGGCGCATCGTCGACTCGGTGAAAAGGCGAGTCGAAGCCTGTACCAAGGCAAAGGGCAGGCACTCGAAATCTTGTTGTACATACTATGTAATGTCGTTCTTTGTTGCTTAGACTATACATTTGTCTTTCCATGTCGGCATAGGAATAAGAAAGTTTAAGCGTTTTCATGGCTCACATAATTTTTCGTCACGCTGTGGTAGAAGACTTATAGCTTGCATCGACAAGCCCATTGATTTGACGTAATCAGGTACTCACATTCTTTTTTCAAGCAATGTTATATTATATTGGTTGGCGAAGTTGAAATTTCCCTCCTTTTCGGGTCTTAGTTTCTGTGCTCATTGAGCGTCATCGAGCACTACTAAGGAATCGATCTACCGTATCTACTCTACCGCGCCTTTTGATCTACGATATGAATCTACGAAGTCGACGCGCAGGAAACCCATCTACGATATGCACTCTTTTGTACTGGACCCAAACCTTATTTTCTTGAAGGTTCATTCAATCACCCTGCACTCACCGCGTGCGACCCCCTCCCTATTTAGTTCTTTTCGCTGTATCGTTCTGCTTCCGGCGCAAGACGTAATAGTTCATTCATTATTTCTGTTCTGTTTCTGTTTCTGGCGTGAGCCACATTTTACTGTAATAGTTCACTCATAGTTTCTGTTTTGGCGGAAGCCCCGCACCATACTACTCGTTTGTCCTCTCTGGCACCACGCCGCAAAATTGTGTTCGTATAATTATTAATTAAATAAAATGAAATATTTCCAACTTTTTTTATTTTATATTTTTAAAATACTAAAAATTATCCATGAACCCATAAACCTATTTATAAAATAAATTATTCGTGAAGATCTTGAATGATAAAATTCCCCGGCTACATAAAACATTAAAGTTGATGTATTTATTCATTTTTTAATTCCTCACCACACCCCACCCCCCTCTCAATGAATTTTTCCTAATGATCCTATTATTATATTATATTTTTTAAAAGTGAAAAAATTGAATATCAGTTCGGCGAACTGTTGTGCAGAATTTTTCCTACATTAATTCTATTAATGCAGATATTACCTTCTTTAAGTTTGTTGTAAACATAAAAAAATCAATGACAACGGCAAAAATTTTAATCAAACATTCTTGAAATTACTGAGAACACAAAATAAAAAATATTATACTGCCAATTAACCCCACAAACTTAAAATAATTACAAACAATTTATTATCAGGGTCAAAACTTATTGCCCACAACACAGATTAGATTTAAATAATGTTATTTTATTCCTTTTTTAACATAAAGCTTTATTTAATTTTACCTAATAACCTTTGATTTTTCTTAAGAAAATAGAATCAAAATTTTATGAAAGCAAATAATATATTTTGTAACTTAAATTAAGATCCTCCGGCACTACGCCGCAGAATTATGTTCACTGTTTGCTTTCTGCCTTCGACGCAAGTCACGATATTACCTTGACTGTTTCTGTTCTTGGCGTAAGCCGCCTTGATTGTTTCTACCTCGGCGCAAGCCCACAATTTTATTGCTTATTCGTGTTTCTTGTGGTACCACGCCCATTTGCTTGTTACACGTTTCAAATGTCAGTTTCGTTTTTTAGGATCACAGTTTCATTGTACTCATTTTGTTACGGTTCAAAATCTCTCCCCGAAGCTCTTTGAAGTCATAATACATATTCGCATTCATTTCGCCATTTTTTGATAGAGTTAGATAAAGGTTAGTTACTCAAGTTTGACATTGTGATTTCTGTGACTGTTGGAAACGGCCCTACCTCCTCGACAGTCAAACTTGCTGGTATTCACTACCGTGCTGACTGAGTATTTAGAGTAGAAGTCCCGCGTGGCGGTTATAACCTTACTAACTACTTACTCCTGCCAGACAAGAAAGGACAAGCCACATCCCGAAGGCCACGTGGGTTACAACGCCTTATTCCTTCTCCGGCACAGTTTCTCGGCTGAAATGCAGCTTATCACAACGGGCAAGCACTCCTTCGAAGGAGCATCTTCGAGTACATATTATGAAAACGTAGTACCTGCTGAACGTATTTCGAACCGAAAGTTTTGCTGGAAGATGGCTGAACAAAAAGTCTGTGCGTCTGCAATTGGTGTAATTTACGGCAAGGAAACATAGTAGCAAAAATGTAGTAACATTCTTATTTCGCATAAATTTGCATTGTCACGGTTTTTCTTCATTCAGGGTTATGATGCAGCTTTTACAACTTAACGTATTTCGTTGTATCCCTTTTCAATACATGAGCTTGTTTTGTACATACAATGAATACAATTCCAGCACCAGAATATTATGGTGGTGGAAGCGCCTTTTTTCCTAAAACTGGAGGATCGACTGGGCTATTCTTCGGAGCCCATCGGAGGTGGACAGTATGACTCGCGCCCGATGGTGCGTGACCTGGGTGCTGGAGCAGGCGATAGGAGTAGAAGGGTTTATTAAGAGACGAACATTAGTACAGGCGAAGAGTGGAAGAGGAGCGGTAAGGTAGAGCGGTGGTTTGTCGTCCGGTCATCGAAGATCCGAAGATCGATCTTTGAGGAGTCTGGCACTACTTATATATAATGATTTCCCGCCACCTCGGACTTTGTCATTTTAACGGTGCTCTAGTCCTTTTCAGAATACAAGAATGCGTTGCGCTGCGTTGTTTGAGATATGTATGTAGCTTGAAGTAAAGTTAGCCGGCCAAGTGCAGCATTTGTCAGCGACACATTTGTTTCAGGAACTACGGGATGCAAGGTACACGGTATTATGGTAGAACAGTAAATTACCCTCTGTGAAGCCAATGTCGACATGCCATTTTATTGCTGTGAAAGAAATCAGAACAGAGCTCGTAAGGGCCAGTTCAAAGTTCATAATATAGGCAGGCGCCATTTGGTTGTTTGTCTAAAATTAGGATGGCTTACTGTGTCACCAATGTTCTCCCTTTATCATGGCAACAGACCTGCAAACTGATTTCCGGACTTCTGAAAAATGTCTGGCGCGGTGAATTGAGTGTCTTATGCTTGCACGAGAATCAAAGGTCTAGTTTACTTTTACATTCTCGTCACTGAGGTTGGTGTTAAAAGTAGTAGCTACCCAGTCTTCAGGGTATCATTACGAAGGAAAAGTTGCTTTCAAAATATTTCAAGGAAGGATGTTTGATAGTCGTGCCTGAATACATAAGCTTTTCGATATAGACGCTTTTTTATACCCCATAAAAGAAACGCTAGCGGATCCTGCGACGGCGAGGGATTAGGGAAAAAGAGAAAGAAGAAAACGGAAACGGGTACTTTTTAGTTCTTTTTCATTCATTCTAGAAAAGAGTAAAGTAAAGGGAAAGGTGGAGTTGAGGTGTAGCGTTTGAAAGGCTCTGATTCCTATTCTTGAGTGCAACACAGGGGCATAACAGCAGTAACCATGCTGGAAGTTCCTTGACGAGGCAACCTGACGTTGACATATCCGGCTCCCTTTCCATTTGCGAAATATAATTATAATATACAATTAGAAATAATATATACTTAGCAGTAGTCCTCTTTTCTGTGGAATCAAATTGGACCAAAACGTTTCGATAGGATCTGTTCCTCGATAACGTGGTTAAACATTGGTACTGAAATTTGTCCGATAGTTGCAGGAGAGTCGCTGTTCAGCAGTGATGATTAGAAGCGATTTTTCTAGTCTAAAAAGTACTTTATCAGCGTTGCACTATTATCTCGCCACTCTTTGACGTTCATTTTGTGGGCATTTGCAGTCTCAGCTATTCATCTCTCCGGACCTCCATTTCAATGACATAGCCGTTTTCTAGGCGACGAGTTGGTCAAATATCACCATCTGCTAGTTATGAAAGTAGATACGTGATGTTCGACCGACTCGAGCCAAATACCCTTTGATTCGTCGTCTTCTGCTTCAGAATACAATCGATTCCGACATTTTCAATGGCATCATCTGTGGTCAGGTGAGCACGGTAAGATCAAGAGCTCAGTGCTACTGTAGTTCAATCAATGGCTGTATGTTAGTGAGGAAATGAACTGATGGAACTGATGAAACTAGATGAAAGATGAATGAAAGGTTTCCCGTGTGATAATTACGTGATGCCTTCAAACTTGACTTTTGGTTCCCATTGCTTTTAGGCTGTGAGGGAAGTATCGGCCAAAAATTTTTTATTAGCCCAGATTTTTCGGGAATTTAATGTCATAGAAGGGCCATACTCCCTTCTTTATGTATAGGATAGATATCATAATACCGCAATCGGTAGACCAGATTAAGCTTCATTTTCGGCCTATGTATGTTTCAGGCTGTGATACATTGGAACAAGGTGTGCATAGATTCATGTAAAAGGGGCTTTAAGGCCCTTTTACAATTCAGGAAATTTCCAACGGATTTTAGCAGCGAAGCCGCCGGAGTCGAACTCGTAAAGGAGTACTAGTGCGAGAGCAGATTCCTTCACACTTCCTAATACACATAACACCACGCTCTTCTTCTTCTTAGCTGTTCTAGAGTCACTGAAATGATCTAAGAAAGTATTCTCCTACAAGTTAATCAAATGAATGTTGAATTAGCCATCATACCGAGGACCGTAGACCACCGTCTACTGCTCCTATGGATTACGCTTCTCCTAGGGTGATCATTGTTTTCAGTGAGCATTGTGATGCACGGATATTGCCTCTTCAAATATCGATAGTAAACTTCTTTTGATGCTCATCACTGTAGCTCTTTTTCGGACTAACATAACCGTCCCCTGGCTGTCCTCATATATTGGCAGGCGTTTTTGGATCTTCCAAACTCGGCAACACTCGAAAAAGGCTTCACATCTTTGAAACTGTTACAAGGATACAAACACGTTTTATTACTTAATAAAAAAGGGAAGAAACCCAAACAAACAAATATAACAATAAGATCAAACAAATAAAAGAAGTTACGTAGATTTTCTTCTCAAAGACACAGTTCACGATGATTTCGAGGTACCTCTTTTCATTCAAAAAGCGGAAGTATAGGTAGGGAATAGTTAATCGGTAGTGAAGAAAGCGAGAAAATTCGGAAAAAATAAGGCTCCTCAAAGGTTAGGAAAATAAAGTTTGGACGAGATATCATGACGGAAATAACGCAGAAGGGATATCCGAGCGAGATTTCAGTTACTGCAATCTCGCAAAGAGCTGACCACATCAAGCCAGTGCCTAAAGAACTGCCTTCACTGTCGCTATGGGTCATGACAATTTGCTTGAGCCTCCTAACTGGGTTCCCTTGTGAGTGGTGCAGCCTCTCCAATGTCGATGAAACTCGTCCGAGGATACACACGATACAATCTTTGTGCCTTCATAACGCACCAACTAAGCCGTTTTCCGATGTGATAGCGCCAGTTATGGTATACGGGGGTGCCTTTCATAATCAATTCGTCCTATGGGAGAATCCCAGGAACTATTTTATCGTGAACTGTGCCTTGAAATCTACGTAACTCTGATTCGCTCAACCGGAAACCCAATTCTCATTCGTTTTTAGCTTTATCACGTGACTCAGGGATTGACTCCTTGGAACGCTCCGCACTGAGTTCCAAGTTTACTCGGTTCGGCGTTTCTGGGATAGATTCCGAAGGTTTTCGACTCGACGCGGATTCTCTGGGCGTCCCTCTCTCCGATTGAGGTGGTTGTGGCTGAAACAGATTCAATTCTTCCTTATAAGGTTCTTATAAAATTATAATGTACGCTCCAGTTACAATTGCTCTCACCAATCTTTGGAGAAGATTTCTTGTTGATTACATGGCGAACAAGTGAATGACGACACGCTGGCCTGGGGAGTCGCCCACATAACCACCGTCGCTGCCATCAGTGTAGCATTCGACGTTATCACGGTTCAAGGTTCAAGGGATGAACTCATATCGTTCCATTCACGTCATAGGAAAAAGAGGTGGTGGACGGAGTTTACAAGGTAGCTCATACTGGTATAAAGACAGCGAGCCTTCGAAATGGTACAGAAATCCACTGATTGTGAAGAAAGTATGGTCATTCTTCATTGTGCCCCATACGACATGGAACCCTGCATCTCCCTCATCCGAGCTGTTTCCTTTCTTGATGGACCAAAACGACGCTATTTCTTATGCCTAATTTCTGATAATCTTGGCTTTTACCGGTTTTAGTTGAGTGTCGTTCACTCTGACTTCTTCACTGACATAGTTTTTAATGGTGATAAGGTGTCCTTGCATGACAGCCCACTTACAGACCGACATATCGTATGTGCAGCAAGTAAATGATCCATTCAAGGGGGA